ATCGAGGATAAATATAGATGTCTATGGGCCACAGCATTTACTTACCATCAGGTGGACTGAGTTTTCTTGACACCATAGTACTGTAGCTTCCTGATTAATGTCTCATGGTGAACACAGTCGAAGGCCTAGGAAAGGTCAAATTATTTACAATATATTGGTAGAAGAATATTAAAACATGTGCAAGAATTTATATTTGTTATGAAATGCGAGTGCTTTCCAATAGATTATTAAAAAAAAAAAAGAACTTTACATTAAATTTAGAATTTAATTAAAAGCCACAACAATTTGTTGAAGAACAATAATTTTAAAAGTAAAATATTTAGAATACGTAGTCTGTAAAAAATATTATATTGAATAAAACTACTTTTATGGATTTTGTCGCGTTTAGTTATACTTATTTTTAAATTCCCGACGTTTTGGGTGCTTTCCAGCACCCACGGTCACGGGGGCTAAGGGGATTGAAGTTCCAATGTCAGAGTTAACCCGGAATACCTTCAGCTTTTTAATTATTAGGTTTGGTCCGATCTACGTAGAATGAACTTACTGTGTCTTGAAGGCTTGCAGTGGTATGCTTGGGTTTAGTTTTAATTTTATTAATTACAGAATCCCAAGCAGGTGGTAGTACCCAGCCTCTCTCTCTATTTAAATGAGGATTTTTTTTAATTTCAATAGCCTCACGTATCATCCTTGGCAGGAATCGATGTTCTTTCGCGAGAATTTGTGGTTTATCAAATCTAATGTAATGGCGGGGGCCGTCTAGGATACGATCACAAACTGCAGACTTCCTGGGACGTTGGTGGTTTACGTCAGCTATGTGTTATTTTATGCGGGTTTTAATAGATCGTTTTGTTTGCCCTCTATAAATTAAAAAAAAAATATCCTCAAAAAGTATAATTAAACGCGATGAAATCCGTAAAAGTAGTTTTATTCAATGTCTAGGGTTTGGCGTGAATAATTCATTAATCATTCAATAATTCATTATAAAATATTATATCTCAAGTATCTATTAAAATGCTGTTAAACGTTTAGTTTATTTAATTTCATCCTCCTGTGGCAATCCTACCAAAGTAGGTAAACAATTTGACAGCTCCTTAAAAGCTTTGCCTCTGTACAGTTTCTTTACTCATGTGGTAACAGCGCGTAGTTCAACTTTTTTCCAATTTTTGGCAACATGCTACAACAAACCTTTTATGTTTTCTTATAAATCACAAACATTCGTTTTAGGTATCTTACAGATATTCCAGCTTTGCCAGTCAGTATTTACTTTTTTAAATTCCAAAGAGCTTAATACCGAATTCTCATTTTTTAAAACCTTTTCGAATATCTATTGGGTACTGAATATTATTTATTCAAAATGAAGTGTGAATAAACAGAAGCAAAAATCGGCAATCGCTCAAATTCCCTCAAATGCCCTTATCTTAAAACTAAACTATACAAAGTACCTGTTGCTTACTTTAAGCAGTGCTTGTTCGTTTTTCTCGTTGCTCGGTATAATTCGTTCGGAAATCGTTCTGTAATAAATCGAATGCATTTTAATGGCAGTTTATCGGGTGAGCTTTGCGGTATTCAGATTACGGGTACGGACTAAGTGGCGGCGGGGAGCGGCACGTGTACCTTATCTCTGTCCCTCGACACTTTCAATATTCGATTTCATCGCGCTCGCTCTCTTGTTGCTTTTGTACGCTTCTGCCTGTGCGACGTAGTGACTGAAATAGATATTTGTACTATTATGAACGTGTTCTAATGTTTTTTTTTAATTTCATGTTGATCGTATTAATAGTTTAGTAAACCTCTCGTTACTTAAAGTGGGTTCTACTTCGCCGTGTGGTAGTGGATGGCATAAAAGAGTTCACCACCCCAGTTTATCCCGTGGGTGTCGTAAGAGGTGACAGATGGAAATAAAACAAGAGGTGGACAGTAGCATCTCTCTTATAACAACTCAAAGTAATAACAAACGGCTCCGTGGCGCAGTGGCTTAGCAATGAGTTACTGTGCTGGGGTCGCGGGTTCGAATACCGCACGGTACAAGTATTTGTATGGCCTACAAATAATTGTTCCAGGTCTGGATGCTTGTCTTCGTGCAATTTGTGTTTGTAAACTGCCTCCACACTCTACACTCACCATACTAGACACAGCAGCGTTAAGCTGCTATTTTACTATGGTATTCTGTGATACACCTGATCGTAAATAGATTCTCTACTTATATGAAAATTCATATTCCGTGAACCAAAACGTAAATACCTCGTTACTCTTGAGGACGATGAAATGCCTCGTTACCAGTAAAAAACGTCTTCGATTCTCGTTACTCACTATACGAAGCACAGCAGCACTATGCTGCTATTTTATTCTGATATTCTGTGGGAGCGTGGTACCTACTACCTCCAGTCGCGCCGACCCATTCGTACTCCAGCCACGCAATTACCCAAAACGTATGTAAATCTTATTATTTTTTTAAGCTAATTTATAATTGACTTTACAAGAGCCAAAATTTGGAAAAACAAAATGTATGTTTTGGTTCCATTTAAACGGCAGTAAGTTAGGACAAGTGTATGCTTCTGTAAGTATTTAAATTGATGCTATAAATAATACAATCGCTACCTAAGCATCGTAAAACTCTTTATCGGTACGTTACAACAAGGAAAAAGTCTAACCGAAAACGAGACTCGCCGCAATCCAAGCTAATGGAGTGTCTCATAATGACGGCTGCTGACATAAAAATAAATAGGCGAGAGTCGGTTTCTGCGTAAGCCGATACTATGATAACAGCATCGCTCCCCCGATAATTGCCGAACTTGGCCGACGCCTCTGATGCTTAGTTGTAATATAGTGCGGATTAGTTACTCCTGATGTAATTGGTCTTCGTTTATGATTTCCTAGTAACTCAGCAAATTTCAAAGCCGCAACAACGTATCGAAACTATTGTGGCATTTTTGCTGTCTCAATAATACACCAAATTTATTTTTCCTTGTGCTATTTTGAAATGTAAGTCATTCGAAAATGTCCAAAGTTATATTCATCACAATACATATGTGTATTTTTTTAATATTTAGTATTAATTACGACAAATTTTATTGCAAACGTTAAATACGTAGGCACGGCAATAGGCTTAGAAGTAAAGATTTAGGTGACAAAGTTTATTGCGTCTAAGAATATAGTGTTGTCTATTACTCGACCGTAAATCACGGATGGGAAAACAATAAGCGTGAAATTGTGGAAACTAGGGCCGCTGTCTTGTGGCATTAAATCTTAGGGGAGTGAAATAAATAAAAATAAATCTGAGTCCTCCTCCCCTCGCGCGAAAACTTGATTTATTAGATAAGACCTGCAAAGAAGCTTATTTGATGTGAAGCTTATGATTTCGGAAACCGATAATTTGTAATTTTTGCAACGAAGTAGTCGGAGCAGATATTAATGAATATAGTTTTAATTTACAACACAAATTCTGTCTCAATCTTCATTCATGAACATTGTAAGTATAAATAGATAATAAAATACTAAAACATAATATAAACTAGCGACATGCCCTGGTTTCGCCGGGGGGGGGGGAGGGGGAACTATTAATGTAGTTTAGATTTCGGATAAACAAATTTTATATCTTTTAAAAACATTTAGTTTTTTTTCTTAAAAAAAACTCCAAGCCTAGACCTAGATCCCTCTTGGCTTTGCTTTCTTTAAGTTGTAAAGTTTTAATACAATGGGGCAGCCATTCCGAAGACTATCCCGGACGGAAAACAGACGGAACAAACATCTTAATATATGGCTAAGATGATTCTTTGTTTCAATGGCAACCAAATCTCCTTTAGGACATGGTAGTATGGTATTGGTTGCAGTACAAAAAATAGATTTTGCTTTATTTATCCGGTTAATTAGGTACTGGATATGCATAAAATGAAAATAATCATTTTGTTTAAAATAGCAGCATATGTAACACTTAAATCTAAGTTCTCCGGAGTGACTATGCATCACATTTTGATTTTTAATCGAGGATTGATGTAAGTGTCTATGAGTTACAAGATGCACTAACCATCAGTCTAATTATTTCACACTATAATTGTCAACAACATCACATCACAAGTTCACAACTAAACATAGGTTTCACCCATAGATTGCCACAAAGTACGGTTCTAAGCATGTATAGATACCCTGCATGTTTTACCTTTGAAATTAAAATTTAATTTAGCAGTTTTTTTATTATACAGTATTTCACTCGAGACTTTTGTATTGTTTTGATTTTATTATTACACTAATATTATGAAACACTAAATAATTGTAGTTTTTATTTATGGTTTTTATTTTTACACTTATTTTTCTTATTCAGTAAGCTTTTTTGTTTTGCATAGAAATGAATTGCATGTGAGAAATTTTTCGAATTGTAGATATCGTAAGAGGTGACTTTGGGAAATCTCAAAAAAGTCTAGTGGCATCCGATAGATAACGGTAAAACTATCTCGTTTAAATCAGACGTAATACACCCAGATGGTTGACGGGCAGCAGTGTCTAAGGAGCGAGGCGTCTGATACTGCGGCCGTCGTGACGATTAAAGCAAATCTTTTATACAACGGAAGAAATCCGGTAGACTTTTGCGAACCGATAAAGTAAGAAGAAAAGCAATATATTATTTTTTACGGTATAGATAAAACATTAGATTTGTTTTTTTTAACATGATAGGTGGCAAACGAACATGCGGCTCACCTGATGGTAATTGACTACTGCCGCCCAGGAACAACTGCAACACCAGGGGAATTGCAGATGCGTTAGTGTAGAAGCCAGTGTAAACAGTAACACTGATCTCTGTACCGGCTAGTAGTAGTAGTAGTAAGTTTGAAATCCTAGTCTAGATTTTTATTAAAGTTCTACCGAGCAACCAAATTCACTGAGTAGAAATGGTTGGTTATTATCGCAAATAATAATGCAATATTTGTTGATATTTAGATTTTATGCCCGTTTCGTAATATAAGTGCCCAGTGTTAAACGGCAGTAACGTGCTACTATGTCCGCAGCTCCAGACCGGGCCGACCACCGAAACGCGCGTCCGGTGTTGGTCTCACACTCGCAGCCACGCAGTTCCCCGGGCATCCGTTCAAGAAACATCGGTTGGAGAACGGTGATTATTCGCCCTACGAGAACGGACATATGAGCGGTGAGTGAAATAAAATATAAAAGTTAAAGTTACAGTCTTTTTATTTTATAGGATAAGGGTGACAAACGAGCACACAGTCCACCTGATGATAAGTGGTTGTTGTGGCCCATAAACATCTACATCTATCATACATAACAGAGTATAAATTGTGAATTGATACTCTGTTAGCCATTCTGTAAAAATGTCCAACTACTTTATAAAAGTATATCTTAAGCAATGTAATATGTACCCAATACATTGATTTACAGTATATTTTAATGTAAAATATTTATTACCATAATAAAATAAACTAAAAACTTAAATTAGCATACAATCCTACTCCTTGCGGCGTAGTGCTGAGAACCCTGGCTGCGGTTCCTCGCTCAAAGACTAAATAAAGGCATTCAGCCCTAATGTCAATAGCGTCGACGACGAGTCGCAGATACAGTTCCTTATGGAACTTTCTGCAGGACCCCACGAAACAATAGCTTTTACAGCATATGGCACAAAATGTAATCATCTCTCAGAGACTCATACATGCGCCACTCATTCTCGTACGTAAATATATGAATATAAGCCTTACATTTTATAAACTGAGATAACATCGGGAGATATCCGGGACAGGCGCCGGATATGAGCGCTAACTCTTCGGGAGGTATGCTGGCTCATTTCGTATACAAATTACACAAATACAAAATCATCCCAACACAAACGGAGAAAAGGGAATAAAGTGATTAAATAGAGCTCAGCGCAAGACGGCTGGCAATCAATCATTTTTGTCGCTTAGGACTTTTGTTGACTATTTTGTATTTTGTCTCATTTCTTTCTATATGATGAGAACGTACTGTCTCGCTCGGGCTTGAAGTGTCGTGCCAGACAAGGGAGCAATTACATTCGTGATCTTGCATAAGCGGCACTTGCTTATCTCGCACTGCCGCATTTGACTTTTGAGTGTAGTTCGTTCGCTTTTTTCCTAAATTTGCAATTCGAAACAGTCTCATAAGTGAAAAAAGCATTGCTTTGTTTTTACGGCATGGATTATTTTTCTGCTATATACCGCGACTGTAATTTTATAATTTTGCATATTTTACAGTGTAGCTAAGTACGGTTAACGGAATAATTGTGCTCTTTGTATTTTCTTTATTTTCGTTATGCAACTAAAATCACAGTATAGCGACGATCCGTAAGAATGCGTTGTTAATTAATATTTTATATGTTCAAGTGTTTAACTCAACTGAGTACTTACGCAGTGAAAATAACTGATTGCTCTGCAGTGAGACATCTACTAGTCAATCAAAGTTTTAGGTACCGCCTTTGATTAGTACATGTCATCAGCACGTTTTTGTTTGGTGTGAATGACGTCACGTTTGATAGTCGCCTAATCAACTTGGTCGATTAGTAAGGCCTAGTAGGTATTTTATTTTACTATAACACCGTGTATATGATAAAATATCCATCTATTCATTCATTTAACAATATAGTAGTATCATTTACAAACAGGAACGTGAAATAACATATTAATACTCAGATAATCCAAATAATACATCGTATACGAGGAGAATAAACATTAAAATACAAGATGTATTTGATTATGTTAAAGTTTAATGAAATTCGTGCAGATATCTAATTTCTGTTTTACTGGTAAAATGGAATTAAGCGTTAAGGCAATATTATTTTGACGAGTCGTTGACAGTGGTTTACAGTTGATGAGACGTCACGCACACACATAATTCGCCAGAAGTAGCACACACGAAAAACAGCATGCGTATGTGGATACGTCACGTGTGTGTTACGTAACGGTGTCACTGTGTGAGCGAGGAGGCGGGTGGCCCATTTTCACCCTGTGAAATAATAGGATACGAAAACATCGGAGGCAGAATATAATCCTCCTAGGAAGGTTGAACGGAATGGAAATAGGAATATGAAATGCGTGAAAGGGATGTGTCGACCCACGTGCTCGCCGGAAGGGTTGATGTTTATCTTTTAGATGGTAAATCAAAATCGATGCTCATTCCGTCTTGTGTTGCTTGGATTTGTTAGAGAAGGTGACCTTTAGGTCTCACGGTTGTAAACAATATTGAGAAGATATCAAAGCTACAATACGAGTAGCAAGTTAGCTAAGCTACACTACCAAATATTACTAACGTTTCATATTTTAATTACGATTATATAAATGAACTATGTCAGTGTTTGATTTATTTTTAGTAACTGAACTGAAATCTGACTGTGAGGGAGAGAAAACTGAAAGCAGCGAGAAACAAATCAGGAGATGGGCAGCAGCGTCTTTCTAATAAAGACTAAAAATAAAAAACTGCGGTTGCTAACCCGATTGCCATGCATGGCAAATATAGCAAATATCCCTCCTATGAGGCAATTTACGGGGCAGGCCTATCTTCAGCAGTGAACTTTAATAGGCTGTAATGGTAACGGAACTGAAATTTCATCATATTTTAATTATCCGTATTTAAAAATTCAAGCCAATTTTGACGACTCTTTATAATAAGTAATCAGTAGTTTCAATGTATATTTTATATTGAAAGCAACAATTGTGATAAATGAATGGTCTCAAAATATTTAACACAGGCAACCCTCAAATTTTCAGAGACCGGCACGAAAATGATGTGTTGATAATAATTAAAGGTTCCGTACAATGTCGCCACGATTCGGATGTTATACAAACGGGGATAATGTAAGGCATTATAACATTACTCACAGGGGTATGAAGCTTACATTCTGATTGAATTCTGTGAGTGAAATTAAGTAAGGATTTGCCTGTTTATGTTAAGGGAGTGCGATGTGATGGATCAGTCAATTTTCTACTCCCGTTTATTCACGCTTTTGTTCTTTGGATTGTTTAAATTTTATAGGGTTGCTCATTGATATAACATGTTGTGTATGCGCTGGAATTTGAAATTAAACGTTGTGTTAAGTATATTAGTTTTCTTTTTTGCATTAATTACTTAAACCAGTTCTCAATCGTCTCGGCTTTTTCTATACATCTTTAAAACCGTTTGTGTGGAGTAATGTTTTCTTTACTTTTTCAAACGACTTCAAAAAAAGGACGAGGTTCTCAACTCGACTGTATTTTTTATGAAAGCTGCTGCATGCAGTCCTATATAAATTATATCAAGGTCTTAATAGTTATCCTTAATAATTAATATGGAAGTCAGTTGTACAAAATTTTTAATTTTACCACTTGTGGGATAATCTAGGTGTGATTATAGAAAAGCATAGGCCACACCATAGATTGTCTCATAAAGAGATCATTGGCCATCGTTCCTACGCTTAGAATCGGCAAGCGTGTCGGCAACCGCCGTTTTTTTTTTCCTAGATGTTATGAAGGCAGACGCTGCTGTAAATCTCTATCCCTGTTTTCATCTGTCGCTTCTTACAAACCTATGGGACGATATGTAATAGTAGCTACTACAAATTAACGTTTTTCTGTTTAAAATGACAAATTAATAAAAATTGGTATAATTTGATGACTTTTTATTGTTTTTACAGAAAACAATTTTAAATACAAAACTAATAATAATAACAATTTTCCTACTCTCACGCCAACAACTTCAAAAGTGAAACACATTGGAGCATCGTCCCGCATCGCTTCGGCGTTTAATTGTCGCTGCGCTGGCACCGAGCGTATTGTTACGATTTCCTTATGAAGCGCAACAGTAATTTGTTTGATTGCCAGCAATTGCAACTTGATGTTTTATCCATTAAAATTGTAAAGTCGGCCGTAAATAGCAAGAAATTGCTATGATTGCGGTCTTGTAGTGTGTTTATCGACCGTTTTGAGTACATAGAGAGCTCGAATAAAAACGATAAATTTTCAATTGAGTGACTTCGGAGCGGGCGCGAATTAATTTTTACAATGTTTTAATTGCGCTGCGTTGATAAAATATCGCAAACAGATTATTTAAGTTAATTTGTACGTCACGTTTTCAGTTTTAACTGTAATTGTCGTAATTAGCGGGGCTTCAAGTGATTTTACCAAAATATTTGTAAAAGTTGACACCCTTGTTAATCATCATCAGTACTGGTTTCAAATCCAGCCGGAGCCGATATTTATGCAAAATAATTCTTAAAAGCTAGCATTTTGGGTGTATCAAAAAGGTTTCTACCTTTTTGATATACATTATTGAAGTTTATGGTTTTAAAATATTTCCATCGAATAATATTCTGTAGTCACAGGAGTCCATCAGGTACCGCAATCGCCAGGCCGACTATCAAAATGACGACCATGGTACGAATAGATCGGGTTCTTAGTTTGGGAAATCAAGCTGTTCACAGGCTCGACTATGTAGTGAATAGCAGTAGTAGGCATCTACAAAACTTGTCATTAGTATTGTACTTTGATGTTATAACTTGTACATTAACTTGTAGTTGAGTTTGTTTTCATTTTGAAAATAATTTTTTGAAAATAAATTTTAGGTTCTTGATATTTTATATCTAAAGTAAAGCTTTGCCCGCGTGGAAACAGAAAAACCTTCATATTAATATATTCATGGTAACTTTAATTCTTTTTTGGAAAAAGACCCATGTATTAATCAAGGAGAAGGTCTGTCTGTATTATATACCAAATTTCATTTAAATCCATTTTGTTTTTTTACACATTTATATACGAACGTCTTCACAAACTTTCACGCACTTAATATTAATAAAGATAAAATAAAATATTATGAATGACAAATAATAACACAATTAAGCGCTTCATAATTAAAGAAAAATTGAAGGGATAGGTAGATACATTTCTTAGTAACTTCATGATGTATTTAATTTAGAAAACATATTTTTTTGATTTAGAACACCATAGAGTTTTAGCATTACCAACAAGCTACGTGTTTTGTATTCTGTTTTAATAGGCTAAACGGGTGTCAATTTGCCAACACGTCTCGGTTTCTATAATTTCTGATGTCGTTGTTTTGTCTAAACACAGCACACAGTATAATTCACTGCAACAGTAAGTAGCGGCACTCATTATGAAACGTTCCAACAGCATTGCTGTTCAATTGTGCGTTCAC